CCGGTTGCGGAATTATAAAATGGATAAAATTGACCGTTACAATTATTAGTTGCAAATATGTGTAATAGGATTGCAATATTCATAAAACGGTTTATAAGGAACCGGTCTGATCTTTCCTAACAGATCTTGGAATATTGAAATTAACTGCAATTAAAATTGACAAATAGCTAATAAAATCGTGTGAGAAAATAAATACGTTTTCTGCTATGATATGTGGTTGGACTCAAGATTCTACGATGATAATCTGAGCGCTCCATGACTCGGCTTCATGAAATTGATGCAAATTTATGTACTCGGTATGCAATGCAAAATTAATAAAAACACGAAAGATGAAAATGGAGTAGAAGTTGGTGTTTACAAGGAGCGAATATTTTTCAAAAAATACACTTTGAGAAAATACAGTTTCTGAAAAAAGTAACCACCCACGTTCTTCTCTTCTCAATAACACAGTTCTACAAACTAAACATTCTATGGACCTGTTTAATCTTGCAGCGCACAATAAAATGCATACCATGTGATAAATAATTTTATTCAAGATAGCTATTAATATTTGAGTTTCAGCTTTTACTATCTTCAGAGATTTGCTATCTCATTTTCAATATTTTGCGTCCCTCAGGCTATGTACTCCCTTGTCAAACTTCGAAATTTTTGTAAATAATAAAAATGCACAAGCACGCGTTATGATGAACCCTCAATGCACGATGATTCGTTAATCATCCAGCTACAAGGTTACGAATCGAAGGTGGATCATGAATTCCTACGCTATCGACCTTTACCCTTTATTGACCAGCGAATACCTCGATGATCGACGAGAACAAATAGCCAATGTACTTGAGTTGTTATAACAGAAACATGAAGTGAGCGGTGATCCTGGAAATATAGTGTTTGCTATTGTTGACTTTCAGAATGTTTGACGTTCAGCAGCTGAATAGTTAAATTGTTTTTCGAAGGCCTCAAGGTTTTCACCATTTAAAAAGTTTCAAGATCAAACTTACCGATATTTGTTTGCGAATTCAAAGTTCAAGCGTTGAACGATCTAAACATTTATAGCTTCAATTATTTCAACTTCTGATGCTTCGATATTTCTGAAATTATTTTTTGAGAATTTTTTGGGGTATTAGTTCCGCAGATTGTCAATTACCGGTAGTTATTAAAAGCTAATTACTAGATACAGAACACGGGGAACGCTTTTACTATGCCACAAAGCACGCGGAACCAAGCTTTTTAGAGCCGCATAGGATCGTAAAACAAGCTATGCACCTTCCCTGCGCGTACAAAGGCCCATTAAAATAGTTCGAAGGGCGAACGATTTCCTTGCTGGAGGGTTCGGTTGTTCGAACGTTTCTTTGGACAAGATAATTCGGGCTCGGATTAAGATAGCAGCTATTTGTAGCACTTTCCTATGGCGATTAGAAATGTCAGGTAGGAACTTATCGGAAACGGTGAGTAATGAATACACAGACTTTTTAAATGTGGAGAAGTGAACTCCGGGATAAACTTACGTGAAGTGTTCATTTTTATATGAGTTTGCTTCGACAATTTTAACGAGGTCTAGTCTTGTACAATTTTTGTATCTGTACATACATAACAATTGTAACGATGTATTAACTTTTAACAGGTTGAATATTGACAACTTTTATCATTGTACGAAATATTTCTAGACTTGAACAATTTTTATGATATTTATACTTGTGTCTCATAATAATTGTAGCAATATTTATGTTAACTTTTAACAGATTGATAAAAATCATGGTAAAAAGCATTTCTAGTCTTGAACAATTTTTATGATATTTATACTTGTGTCTCATAATAATTGTAACAATATTTATATTAACTTTTAACAGATTGATAAATTTAATCATAGTAAAAAGCATTTTTAGTCTTGAACAATTTTTATATCTATACATGTGTCTCATAATAATTGTAACAATATTTATATTAACTTTTAACAGATTGATAAATTTAATCATGGTAAAAAGCATATTTAGTCTTGAACAATTTTTATAAAATCTATTCATGTGTCTCATAATAATTGTAACAATATTTATATTAACTTTTAACAGATTGATAAATTTAATCATAGTAAAAAGTATATTTAGTCTTGAACAATTTTTATATCTATACATGTGTCTCATAATAATTGTAACAATATTTATATTAGCTTTTAATAGGTTGATAAATTTAATCGTGGTAAAAAGTATTTCTAGACTTGAACAATTTTTATAATATCTATACATGTGTCTCATAATAATTGTAACAATATTTATATTAACTTTTAATAGATTGATTCTTGGCAAGCTTAGTCATTATACAAAACACATTCCTTTTAAAATTTTACCAAATTTCAAAAGCAAACAATGAAGCAACATAAAAATTTGCTTACAAAGTGCAAAAAGCGTTCAGTTCCAATAAAATTATCTCTCGATTAATCTCCCATGATTTCATCGTATTAATCGCACAACGCCACCAAACTATAAATGGAATATCGAACATGATGCAATTATACTTCACAAAATAGCATCAAGCAGTAATCGCATCGTTATCTTATCGTGTTTTTATAAATGTATCCGACGATTGGCGCGAAATGTGCACCGGGAAAATATTCGAAAGTCGGTCGTCCGGAGGCCGCAGGGTCCCAGGCTGCATGTCTGCCAACAGACACGTGTATTTCATCGTCCTTTTTTCTCTTTCGTGATTCCACGAAGTGACCAACCAAAGGAGACGAGGAACGGTCCCAGGTGCATACATCAGTTGGCAGATCCGGGCACAAAGGAGCAACGTTTCGTAAGCCGCGGATTCGACAGCCGGAAGCTCGTCGGGAGATCTCGTTTGTTGGCGGGACAAAAGCGCGCGACGCTCGCTGCTTTCGAAATTGACCGACGCGACGCGTTGCACCGAATCGTGAAAACTGGACGCGTTGTTTACGTAACGCTGGGAATCTTCGCACGAGAAACAAACGACTAGATGACAATAGCTTTTACGTGCGAATAGCCTCGTATACACGTTCCGATCACAAAACTTCCAACGGGACTTGAATTCGTAATGTCGATCCGAGCGGATATGTTCACCATGTTGAGGAAGATCGCGGTTTAATTCTAAATTTAAGGTAAAAGATGTTCTAAGGGTACTTTAGCTTTTATGGTGTCTTTTAAAAGGGTCAATGATACAGCATTGTTGGTTCAAATATTTGTAACATTTTTGTCTTCGAGGGACAACAGGCAACTCTCCATCGCACTTGTTACAAGTCTGTATTTAACCCCTTGCCTTACAATTTATTTGCCAAATGCGTCAGTCAAAACTAACTATTCATAGTTATAATATTAAAACAAACAAAGAAAATTAAAATGTTTGGAGCATTTTCTATTCAGCGATCCTTGACTATACAAATTGTAGTTGGACCTAAATTTCAAGTTGAAGAGTATTCAAAATTTTGGAGAAGGTTATGTCACATTTGAGTTGTGAGTGTGTCACGTGTGAGACTCGTCAAAGTATGGCAAGGGGTTAATAGCTATTTAATTATTTATAGACTTGTTAGTTAAGTGTAGATACATAAATCATACTTCTAAAGAATATAAATTTTCATTGGAAAAAATGTCGTCCCTCTAAAGCTGCTCTAAGACAATTTGCAAGAAACAATATAACTGTCGAATGTACTGAAGAATAAAATTGACTATTTATAAGTTTGATGCGGTACGAAACTACATATTACAGATCTTACGATCAAGGTATCGAAATAGAGGAAGAAAATGACAGTCGGTTTATTTGGACGTCAATACGCTGGCTCGCAGAATCTTTTTTCTTTACGTTTGGAACTCGCTGGAATGGAGTTTAAATTTGTAACGGCAACCGCAGGTCGTGAAATTTAAACGCATGCAATTCGTTATTTGAACCGGTAAAAGATTCAACGATACCGATTCTCGGAATCGCAGCTTGGAAGCAGACGTTATACAATACCGGCGAGTTTGTTTGAAAGAAGCTTTTTATGGATAGAATAATTATTTTTACACGGGTGATCTATGAAAGTTACAATTTAATATTCTGCAACAATTAATATGATCGACAGAAACTAAGGAGACAAAAATTAGAGACTTGGAGACTTGCTTTAACTGCGAGATACAGAGACGCATACTTTGAATCAAACGTAGAAATAATAAAATAAAATTGTCATATGTGGAAATAATTTTAAATGTATAACTTTAAGATGACTAGCATGATTGCAATTTAATCTCTGTTCACTTTATTTGTTAAACGTGTATATATTTTATTAGAACGCTATAATTACACGCGATAACGAGTGGAAAGTTAAATTGAAAAACGATCGTATTCTGAATAATTGTAATTATAGCGTGTCTTACTACGCGCGGCCGTTTTCACTGTGCCAGTGAACGTGTCAACGCGCAGTGAAAATGGACGTGTGCAACAAGACATACTAAAAACTTGAATTATTAAAGATATTAAGTATCAGATTTAAGCTTCGACTTCCATATTACTCAAATATTTAAATTATCCCCTTATCTTTGTATACTGTACTACATAAAATTACGATGTATGAAATGAAACTTTCAAGCTTAACTCTAATTATTAATAATTTTCCGTCAGGTAAAACGAGGGGTATAAAATTGCAAAAATAGCTGTCAACCGGCAACGTACATTCGATTAATAATCCACTCTCCGAAATTCAATTACTATTACGTACAACAAAGGTAATAAAATTGCAAAAGTCTCAAACCGCCAAATTATAAACATAATTTCGTTCGTGGCGTCTTGTCACATATAAGGGATATAAATCCAAAAATGTCAGACCGTTCAAAACATCCATCACAAGGGTTAAACACTTCTAAAATATAAAAATCGAAATATCTAAGTTTAATCGAAAAAGTCACCCTCCCAAAAAATTCTACAAAATCATCCCCTTGAACGAAATAATCTAAAGTTCCCTAAAAACATCGTAACTGAAAATATTTCAAAAAAAATTGAACACAGTAAAATATTAAACTTACTGGTCAGACGAAGTTGAAGTTCGGCCGTGCTTCCCGAAGTTCCTCGATGAAAATGCTGGAGACGTCGGGCGTCGGTAGTTCTCCGGCTGATGGAAGCCGGTTTCCCGACGAATCGGCGATTCACTTCGTCGGAAAAAACAGAGGAGAGAGTGCACGTGGCGAGAAAGCGAAGAGCACGAGCGCGAAAACGGGAGGCTACGACGCGACCTCGCCGACGGTCGCAACGAGACTGAACTTCCAGCCTGCTACTCCAGCCTGGAAACAGCTGCTCCGTCAGCCAGCGCCAGAAAACTACGTGGTCGAACTGGCCGAGTGGTATAACGTCGTGCCAAGTGCATCTTCGGCCGTGGAGAAGGGGCACGCTGCAGAAAAATCACGTTTCACCCTATTGGGACACGGTGTTGTTCGGATGCTGCCGCCACGGGAGAAGTCGCCTCCTCGGGAAACCGCTTTTACGACGTGTTTAGAGTCGATCGAAAGTCGCTCGTTTTTCCCTCTCTTATGCTTCAACCCCTTCGGAAAGAATTTTGATTTATGGATCGATAACAGGAGCGATTTAGAGGCGCAGAGTATCGTTACGGGGTACAAAGAAACTCATAGGCCAGAGCGAGGTTGAGTAACGTTATTGGATCGTTTGAGAAATTCGGAGTATTCGCCGAGATCGTTGATATTAGATTAAATTTCGCAATGAAGGCTGCGTGTAGGATAATTGGAATTATTCAGATCGCGATCGTTTTATTCTCCAATTTAAACTTTCTGCCTGGTACTTTAAGAATTTAAATACGAATATAACGAGCACCCCATTCGGTATACGTAAGATTCCGATTGAACTCGTCAGTGCTAAATTGTACCATAATAAAATAGTACGAAAATTACTATTTTTAAATGCCTTTAACCCTTTGCAGAGGCAGACTCGTGACTTACGGTACAAATACGACAAATCTTGCTTAAATATTTAATATATCTCAATTTAAAGTCCAATTATAATTTGTATAATCAAAGACTGAATACAAAATCGTCGCAACATTTTGACTTTTTTAAATGATTTTAATACTATCGCAATTAATAGTTACTTCCGACTGACAAACTAATCAAGCGGCAAGGGGTTAAGAAAGTGCCACTGGTGACAAATTCTGTAAAAGTCTAATATCAAATTATTCGATGTTTACTTGCGGAGAATATTTCTCGTGTAAAATATCTAAGAAAACTGTCCGTTGGTTGCACGAAAAACGTGTCGGGTACCAAGGGGTCCTCCGAAGTATATCGGGGCCATTACCTGAAAAAGCGAATACTCCCCTTCACTGACAGCTGCTCTTACGTGTAAATATTTACATTTCGTATGAGCCCTCAGGTCGTTCACACGCCGCTGGAAAGCTACGGTCGTTGCATGCACACGTAAAGGGGGTAGCAGTGCAAATTTCGAACTCCTCGAACGCGTCCAATCAACTGTCGTGATCGAAAAAATGATTGGCGTGAATATTACGTCAAAATTATCCTCGAACGTCACCTCTCTCCGCCATCCGTTCCTGTCATCGGGATCCTTCTCGTTGAAACGCGATTCGATCTCGCTAAATCTCGACCGGTACACTTCGAAGAAAGAGAGAGACGGAAAGTGGTCTTTATTGTCCAGGTTCTAACGCAGCTGTAAAGCAGTACCTGTGTGCCCGACTTGGATCATTATGGAAGACAGGTATCATTCGAGCTTCGCTGAGCCAAATGCGAGACGAAAGTTTGGTCGATTCAGTCGGTTGAACGACCACCGCGGGAGTACTGATAAGACGAACTTCCAAGAGAATATGCAAACGTGCGTGACGACGTAACCTTATCGGCTCTTAAGCATTAGAATTTGGGTTGCTAGCTTATTGTTATTTACGGCTGCGTGCGGATTAGCAAAGTTTGCACTTTCTTGAAATTTAAAGATTCAATTTGGTCTAAAATACTGGGGGATCTACCTTTACCCAGACTCTTGATTGGTCGGAAGTACATAATTTACATTTCGAGCCGTTTGAGACCGTTCCTTTGAAACGTATTTCACTTCAGACTTCATGCATTTTTCCTCGCGACTTCTTTTACCACCTGGAAGAGTCGGGCGTGTGCAGGTTCGAAACGCATAAACATTTCACCTGAACCACGACCGCCCACTCGAGCCAGACTTCGCAATATCGCAAATATTCTGGCGCCATCGAGTTCGAGGCCGGTGTCTAAATAAATAGCCGATCGGTGAGGGCTTACTTATGCATGCGACTCCGGTCAAAGCGACCGGAAGAGAACGATGCCGTGGAAAAAGGATCGTATGAGCGAGCTCGGAACCGTCGCTCGCCAAACGTGTAACTCTGTCTCTGCTCGCGCTTCTTCTGCTTCAACGAGAAGAGCTACGATTTGTATCTCGCGAACAGACAAGCGGATAGATCGCTGAACATGGGATCCGAGACGCGAGATGAAAGAAGCATGGTAGAATAGTTGCGACGAAGCGTGAAGAATGGATGGACACTAAGAAGTTTTCAATTTTTATCGATTACGATCGCGATTAAATTTTTAATGTATTCGACCAGAGATTCTCAACCGGCCTTGCTGTAGCAAATAGCAGACGGTACGACGGGAGTCGATAAAACTTAGGAAAACGGATTTAAGAAGTTACCATACGGAGAATGAAATAATCCGAGCCGGTTGAGTTACGAACTGCAGGTTTACGGATTCGTATCACGAAAGGAGTATAAAGCACGTAATATGGGGTCGAACTTGAGGGGCCGCATCATACATATTTACAACGAACTTTCTTCATTGTTTTTTATATTCCGAGTTCCACGAACTCGGCGACGCTACGCCCACGCGTTGTAGCGCATCGCCACTGTTTCATGCTCGAGTTCTCACGAGTTTATCGGAAAAGCTGATGTCTCGGTGACGCTATAAAGTATCATCCCCCGGGGAACTCTTGCTTTTATCATTAGCCCTGGCAGTCGCAAGAATGTTGGCCGATGGTACGGTGAAAGGTAGAACGAGAGATAAGGATGGAGAACGGTTAGATAGGAGAATGTGTGTCGAGTAGTCTGCGACATTTTCGAATCCATAACAGGGCTAGAGAGTCGAGGAGCTCGCTACTGCAGGTCATACATAATGCAGGCACAAAGTGGAGATGAACGGCTGCAGGTAACGGGGCATGTTAAATCCGCAATGCAAATTTCACGTGAAAACTTCTGATTGCCGCTCTGTCTACCGTCTACCGAATTTTTCTTTTCTATAAATAATTTACGCTTCCTCTCGATTATACACACCGTTCGACTATCACTCGTTCCGTTTCGCTTTCTTTCTGATAACGAAAGGGAAAGCAGAATTAACGAGCACATTTGAACAACGAAATTACACGCTTCGTGTCTTGTAATCTTTTAATGAATATTCGAGCGAATAAAACAAAAACGTGGAATCGATGTTTTCCTCGGTTAAGCAACCCCTTAATTTCAGGCGGTGCACGCAGGTAAAAAGGTATATAACATGCTCCTCACGTGCTGTACCCACGTTAGACGAGCACTCCCCGTCTCATTTACCAATAAGCGAATCGGATTACTGGCGGACCACCAACGGATAGAGCAAGAGTTACTTTACGCTGAATTAGGTCACCTGTTCCTCCGGTTCGTCCAGACAGGAAGTCGTTGAAGTTCGTCAATTACACGATGCACCCTTGTTCATTAATATGTACACCACGCTACTTGGGCGTTCTTAACGAGCGACCTAACCGTTTCATCAAAAGAAACGTCCTCGACATCTCCGAGCAGCATTCAGTTATTTATACAAAATGACGCCCGCGTGAAATTAAACTGTGCGGCTTGATGAAAACGAAGCGCAACCGGTTGTATGAAATCGCAGGAACGAAGAAGACCGGCGTCCGTCTTATTTCCTTCGTGACTTCAACATTAACGAGGCATTGGCGTAGTGGATAGAAGTCTGGACAGACTTGTCCCTCCTTCCCCTCAAGGATTAACCCATTTAACGTTAACAATTTTCAAATCTCAAAAATCTGCAAACTCTCAAATTTGTAAATTCTATGTAAATTAAATTTCAGAAGAACCTCAATTTATAAATGTATCAATTTCTAACTTTTCCCTACTGAAAATTTAATTCCAGAATGTGAGAAACCGCTAGGGAGACCAGGGGCCAGACCTCCAAAAATCGTAGTGACGCCAATGAGGTAACTTCTGTCTCCTTGACGATTAGGTCATCTTCACCCTTGCGGCATTATCATCCGCGATGACAAAGCCGCATATCCCGGATGCAATGATTATCGTTAAGAATCAGCGAGTCTTACTGGCCAATCTGCTCGCTCTTCTCTTCTTGCCCTCCGCTTTCCTGTCTTCTTACAGACAGGACGACCACGTGCGCCCTGTCAGGGCCCACGCGACACCCATTACGAACAATCGGCCCTTCAAATACGCTTTAAACGGCCCGGGTGATTCTTCAATCTTGCCATGGAATGCGTCTTCAACAAGTGGTCACGCTTGCCGGAATTATAATATTATCTAGTTGGAGCTGCGTAACCGGACAAGAAGAATCAGCGGTTCGTTATGCAACAATGCCTGTGTTATTATCGTTTGGATTCGTTGCAAGTGAAATCATCGGATGTAATTATTCTTTGATATTTAATTTATATGTATATATACATTCTGGTGTAAACATTCAGCTCGTATCTTGTTATCTACACGCGGTGGATCGCGGTCTGCGTACAAATTAAATACAGTACAATGTGATTCGCTGTAACGAAACATAAACTTGAACATTCTTCTTACTCGCTTTACACTCATACAATAATATATTCGTACGGTATAAAATTACTTTCATGTTTACACGCTTACATTTATACCATGTACAAATCACGTAATACGATTACTATGCGTGATAACAACGTTTCTTCTCGAGAACGCGTTTATCATTTTGACGAAACAATTTGGTTATAACATCCCTTGAGAAGTTACTAATTACAGGTGACATTGATTATGTCGCTATCATATACTGATACAGAAATGTGATGGTACACAAAGATAAGCATAGCCGAAGGAAAGTCGATTACGTAGAAATATTAAGTAAAACCAGCTTAATATTATTAAAGTTCGTATAGTTTACCTTAAAACTTCGCATGAGAGAAAGGATATTAATTATCGCCACCAGCACCGTCGAACGATTATTAAAATTTATACCAAAACATTATAAATTAAACTTATTCTATCACGAAATAAATAGTTCGCTTTAAGCATTAGCCATATGAACTGAGTAATTTAGTCATGGGCAATAAATAAAATTATACTTGAAATTTTTATATTTTTAACGAGGCCGAAATAAAATTTATTTCGATACTTCTGTGTTTCCTGCCTTTTTAATAAATTAAAAATATGTGCCCGTTAACATTCTAAATTACACAAAAGTCAACTTGGACGGGGAGTCTTTTGGCACGTAGTGGTCCAGAGCATAATGGCACTTTTAAACCACTCTTAAAGTGGATAAAATAATTTTGTTTCTTATAGTTGTTCTACTATATCATGATCGTTTTTATAAGAAGATTGTTTGAAAGTAGTTTTTTGAGAATGTTTCGTTCTCTGCAACTCCTTAGCAAAGTACATTATAGTTTTCTTAAGTCCTTCAGCTAAAGGAACTTTTGGTTCCCAATTCAAATACTTCTTAGCTCTACTAATATCCGGTCTTCTTCTCTGAGGATCGTCTTCGACCGCGGCAAGCTCGACTACTTTACTATTTGTACCAACTAAATCTTTTATTATAAGAGCAAATTCTGAAATAGTTAAAATCTGTTAACTATTTTCATATCAAAGTATTCAATTAATAACAAGAAATATTGTTCTTTTTAACTGTTACCTTCTATCGTATGCTCGACAGGATTTCCAATGTTTATTGGCTGGGTATAATTAGACGCCATTAAGGCAACTAATCCATCCACTAAATCAGTAACGTATTGGAAAGATCGCGTTTGTTTCCCACTACCGTATATTGTAATTGAATCATTTTGAAGTGCTTGAAGAATGAAATTCGATACTACGCGACCATCGTTCATATGCATTCTAGGACCGAAAGTATTAAAAATTCTAGCAACGCGTACTCTGACGCCTTCTTGCCTCATGTAAGCATAGCTTAATGTCTCAGCAACGCGTTTTCCCTCGTCATAACAAGCTCTGGGACCTAAAACAGTTACATTGCAAAGTTGTGTGTTATATCTTGTAATGTAGTCTTTCACATATATAACATGGATTGACATTAAATGTTTTGTATACCTATAGGATTCACATGACCCCAATAGGTTTCTGTTTGAGGATGTTCATTAGGATCTCCATAAACTTCTGATGTGCTTGCTATTAAAACTGTTGCTCCTACTCGCTTTGCAAGACCTAAAATAATTTAGAAATATCTAAATCCACTTATTGATAACACATAATTATCTTGAATTCAGATAAAATAACCATTACATAACATCACCTACCTAATATATTTATTGTACCTAAAGTATTTGTTTTTATAGTTTTCACTGGGTTAAGCATGTAATGCGGTGGGCTAGCTGGACTAGCAAGATGATATATTTCGTCAACTTCTAAGTAAAGGGGTCTTACAATGTCATGATGAACAAGCTCAAAATTCTCATGACCAACCCAATGTTCAACATTACGTTTTCTGCCAGTAAAAAAGTTATCTACAACTATTACTTCATGACCAGCGAGCATTAACCGATCAACTAAATGCGAGCCAACAAAACCTGCTCCACCAGTGACCAGTATTCTCTTTCTGTTTTTATAATTAAGAAATTTGACTACTGGAAAATCTTTTGATACTCTATTTTCAATTTTAGCTTCCAGATGTTCTAGTTTTCCTTCCAGTTCACGAATTCGTATTTTTGCTTCTTCGATGTTTTTAATGTCAGTGTATCGTGCATTTTCATTGGCATCTGGTAATTTTTCATTAACAGGTCCAATTTCATTCATGTATTCTATGTTAGATTTACGATCTCGTGGATGAATCCGAGGAAAGGACTGTTCTTCTTCTGGATTGACTAATAATGTTTTGTAGAATCCCAGTACTATAACAGAAAATTTATAACACTGATATTAATTGATGCAAAGAACAATGTGCTTTAGTAATACAAAATAATTTACCTAAAATTATACATATCACGGAAAAAGCAACCTGTTTCATCTTTCGTGGAGTAAGAACCATGCTTTAAAATTGCACATGTCACCGAGAATATTTATGTTAGCATTTTCTACAACTTGTCACAAAGTTTCACCGTAATATTGAACAATAGAAAAGATAATATTTGGATGTAGCAGATGTGTCATTTTTTAACATTCATAATTAAAAAACATAACCTCTTACATCGTCACACCACTCACGAAAAACTGACACAGATGAAGTGTAGGACAGACCAACAGCTTTCAATTTTCAAGAGATATGTTAAAGAATCTGAAATACCGACATTACGCATTTCGTGTTCCAGAACGGTAATTTTAGGAACTATACATGACATTTAATTATTCGTTCCACAGAAGAACGAAGAGTTCTTGTCCGTCCTACGCATGTCAGCTCGCGACATGCAAGTATGACAACCTTCTTGACAGCCTAACATGTGTACCTGGTGGGCACGAATTTTGTATGCTCTTACACTGGGGGTTGCCAAACTTTTATGAACTAAGATACTCACTAATTCTATAAGACTATTACTCTACTATCTTATTGTGTTACTACTTTACTACTTTTCTATTCTATTACTTTGTTTTATTGTTCTTTATTATTGCTTTTGCTCACGGTGTATATGACTGACAAGTGGGAATTGGGAAGCATACGACAGACAGACAGCGCTAACAATAAATGGTGGAGAATCTATTGAAGTTAGCTAAGATGCGCGAATCGAGTACGATCTATCATGGAACGAACAGTAAAAGCTTCATCCCGTAGAAAGCAATTTCCTGAAAGAAGAAAGCACTTTCTTCATTGCTAGTTTATTCATCCACCGTCAGATGGTACTGAAAATTCTCTCTCCAAAGCGCGTTGATATGAAATAAAGAAAATGTTCCGTGTTTTATGCTTTTCAGGTTAATTAGTTAACAGTTATATTGCACAAAAATGTATTACATGAATGGTTAATCCTACATTTAGCCTGTACTCCTCATTTCGTGCTGTTTTATTTAATTATTTTCACAATGTCAGTGCTGCTATCTAAGCATCCTAACGCAAACGTTTAGCAGATTTTACTTCTATTGTCTGTTTAATCTGACATATCCTAAGCTGATAACTTAACCTCAAAATTTACAGCGTACACTGACGCAGGCGCAGATGCCGTTTTTTGATTGATATATAAGGCTGTGGCAGTACAAAGGAAACATCTCAAGTAGTTTTTCTGGAGTCGCGGTGGCAGTGGTATTTGAAATATGGCAGAGGTCATTGATTGTAATTTTCCTGTGTGGGGCCTTTTACCTAAAAAAGAAACTGGTGTCACTCAATTCCTTACCAAATATCCTGAATATGACGGCCGGGGAGTCATTATCGCAATTTTTGATTCAGGGATTGATCCTGGGGCTCCTGGTATGCAGGTAAGTTTTTATACAGTCACGCCTCACGATTGTTCAAATCGGTTTTTTCTTTGTCCCCTACTTCTTTTTTCCATTTTAGCCAAATATCTTTTTTTTCTTTGAATCATTTTCAGGAACTTCGATTTGCTGAATACACTTGTTTCACTCATAAATTTGTTTATATTTTCAGTATATAAAATGATGTACCTTGTAATAATCTTGCTTGAAATTAGAAAATATGTACTATATACATAATTTGTCTTTTATCCTTTCATCTTCTATTACTTTTTAATTGAATGTATGAAGATTTTTATTATATCATATAATGTAATGATTGATTGCTACTGTGTTTTAAATTTTCTATATTTTAATAATAATTATTTTAACACTGTAGATGTTAACAATGTATGAATGTATTAGTCATACACCTCTACAATCGAATGTCTTTGTCATCTTTTATTATACAATAACATCAAGAGAATGATTCGGCAGTTTCTCACTGAATAAACAAAAAATGATATAAAGCATTTAATCTTGCAATTATCCTATTTTATGTAGATGACTTCGGATGGAAAACCAAAAATTATTGAAAGGTACGACTGCAGTGGAGCCGGAGATGTGGATACAAGCAAAGTTGTACAAGCACCTGATGGGTATATCAGTGGTATAAGTGGTAGAAAATTAAAGGTACATTTTTTGTACTGAAACATATAAAGTGTAATATTTATATGGAATAATTAACAAAAAAATAATGTACAATTAATTTTTATATTATATACTTTTGTTTTAGATTCCTTCAAGTTGGGTAAATCCTACTGGACAATATCACATTGGAGTCAAAAATCTGTATTCATTATATCCGGGAAAATTAAGGGAAAGGGTATTAATGGAAAGAAAAAAACGTCTGTGGGATAATTGTCAAAAATCTGCACTTGCAGAAGCATCTAGACAACTACAAGTAATTATATGTTGATGATATTTTATATAAATATTAGAAGACACTTGAAATTCTTGTTCAAAGTATTTTTGTTAATCTTGTATGTAAAGTTTATGTTTTTGGATTTTTTTTTTAAATTAATTAATTTGTATAATATGCAACAGTAACAGTAGACTATATGTTAATACAAATATATAAAAGTAAATTCGTAAATAGGCTTTTGGACCATGTGATCCAAAGATAGGGTTGTTGTGGGTATGTTGAACCATGCAGTCAAACGAGGCCGGTTTCACAATGTGTCACAGTGATCTGTATCTAATGCTATATTTATATTTGGCAGTTTGATCTACTGTAAAGCCATTGATTGATTACATAATAGTGCTTAAACTCTTTTCTACTTTCTTATAGCATGTATATATTGAAAGGCAAACTCAATTAAGATACAAGTAATTTTTTAATCAAAACAAAAATAATGTGATTTTCATGTTACACGATTATTGTGCATAGGAATTTGAAGCAAAGAATCCACAATTAACAACTTTAAAAGACAGATTACAAAAGGAGGATCTTGAGGCGAGAGTTGAAATTTTAAATAATATTGAAAAAAAATATTCTGATGTAGGACCTACTTATGACTGTGTTGTTTTTCATGATGGACAAGTTTGGAGGTAAAGTTGACAAGTATATGAAGATGTTTCATTTTCCCTAATTATTAGCGTTTAAGTTTAATTTTTTATTTTACAACATAGAGCATGTATTGATACCTCTGAAGAAGGTAATTTGGAAGCTGGTGTATTTTTGGGAGAATATTCGATGACAAGGGAATACGCGCCCCTTATACCGGAAGATCAACTAAATGTTAGTATTAATGTTCACGACGATGGAAATACATTAGAAATTGTTAGTTTATGTTGTAAGTATTAATAAATTTATATTTATTTCTTATTCTTTTGTTTGTTTTTTAGATTTAACTAATATTCATTTTATGATATTGCAGCAAGTCATGGTACACATGTAGCTTCGATAGCCGCCGCATACTTTCCCGATAATCCTGAATTAAACGGTGTTGCTCCCGGTGCTCAAATTATTTCATTAGGCGTTGGAGACAGCCGTATTGGTACGATGGAAACAGGAACCGCAGTTGTACGAGCAATGATACACGTAATGAAACACAAAGAAAAGATACATGTGATAAATATGAGTTATGGAGAACATGCTCATTGGTCAAACTCAGGAAGAATAGGAGAATTAATGAATGAAGTTATTGATAAATACGGTGTAACGTGGGTAGCGTCAGCTGGCAACCTTGGTCCGGCTTTATGTACTATTGGTTAGTTGATAGAACTTGAATGACTTCTAAAGTATTGATATTCAGCATATTCAACTTGTTTCTAAATTATGTAGGGACACCTCCGGATATTAATACCAACAGTGTCATTAGTGTTGGCGCTTATGTTTCTCCTGATATGATGGTAGCCGAATATTCTTTGCGAGAAAAGATGCCAGGCATGTCATACACGTGGTCATCTCGTGGTCCAATGATTGATGGAGGAGCTGGAATTACGGTATGCGCGCCTGGTGGTGCTATAACTAGTGTTCCAAATTTTACGCTAAGAAAAAGTCAGCTTATGAATGGTACAAGTATGGCTGCCCCACATGTGACTGGAGCTATTGGTACGTGTACAATTATTATAATAAAAGTATCGCATGCAGATGAGGGAAATATATATATATATTTCATGAATATTTTTTACCTATATTATAGCTGTTCTTATATCGGGACTTCTTGCCAAGAACTGCCCTTATTCTCCATACAACATAAAAAGGGCTCTTGAAAATACAGCTTTACATATACCAAATTTAGACCCCTTTGCACAAGGCTCAGGATTACTACAAGTTGAACGTGCATTTGATAATCTTGTTACTTATAGTAATGTACCTGAAAGAGACGTAAGATTTACTATCAATTGTGGTCCAAATAATGCTAAAGGAATTCATATGAGAAGCGGTGTAATTGATCGACCTAAAGATTACGCTATTACCGTTGAACCTGTATTCCTTAACAGCGAAAATACTGACCCAGCTCTAAAAATTGCCTTCAATTTGAAATTGACTTTGGTATGCGATGCATCCTGGGTGCATTTTCCAACACATCTTGATTTAATGAATATGGTGCGAGCGTTTGCTATCAAAGTAGATGCTTTTAATTTACCAGAAGGTGTTCACACAACTAAGTAAGTACACTTGAACGATTATTAAAGTATATTTATTATAAACTTCATATAACCTTAACATCGATTACGTTCTTACAGTGTTAGAGCTTATGATGTAACAGACATTGCAAAAGGACCAGTCTTTCAAATACCAGTGACTGTAGTACAACCACAACTACTGCCAAAAACTGCAATCCTTCCAGATTTATCATACTCAAGTGTTTTATTTAAACCTAATACACTGCGCCGACATTTTATTTTGGTTCCCGAAGATGCAACATGGGCAGGTAAATATTGTCTATATTATTTTCAAATTGGAAAAATAAAATTAATATTTTAATTCAATTTGATTTTAGTTATTAGATTAAAAAGTACGGAAAAAGATAAAACTGGAAGATTTGTGATTCATAGTGTTCAATTGAAACCTCGCTTGTCTTGCAAAACTCTAGAAGTGAATAAATTATTCACTGTAACATCTCAGTCAGAAATTATTCATCCATTTGCTGTTCAGGTGCTATAAATTTCTATGGTTTAATTTAGAAAAACACTAATAAATTGATGTGGTAGTTATGTATGTATTTTATTTATAGGGAGGATTAATCTTAGAAGTAGTTGTTGCAAAATATTGGGCAAATATAGGCGATATGCTAGTTGATTATTGCATAGAATTTCATGGTATTCACATGATAGATGGAAGTCTTACGATGCAAGCTGGAGATGGAATAAATCGTTTAGAAGTACGAAGTTCTCTTAGAAACGAAGAAGTAGTTCCCAGTATTTCTCTTAAATCGTCTGTGCAGATTTTGAAGTATGTACAACTGAAAAGTGTTTCCATCTTAGTTCTGGCTTTAAATATACTATTTTGTTGTTAATGATATAGACCTACTGATGCAAAGATCGCTCCCTTACGGGAACGAGATATTATTCCACCTTCACGACAAATTTATGAATTACAATTGACGTACACGTTTCATTGTGCAAAATCAACGGAGGTAACTCCAAATGCTGCATTACTCAGTGATTTATTGTACGAAAATGAATATGAGAGCCAAATGTGGATGATTTATGATAGTAACAAACAGCTTATCTGCTGCGGAGATGCGTATCCATGCAAAGTAAGTGCTGCCTATAAATCACAATTAATATATTGGCACGTTGACTGCGATATCAGTTATATATCGGGGATGCACATACACATGACGCTTCAGTGTTTTAATAATTGTATTTGTTATTACAGTATGCTAACCAGAAATTAGAAAAAGGGGATTACACTTTGAAAATACATATACGACATGAAAAGAAGGATTTACTTGATAAATTAACAGAAATGCCATTTTTGTTGAGTCACAAGTTAAGTAACCCAATTACTCTAGATGTTTATGCCAGTCGATCACAAGCCATTATTGGTGGCAAGAAAATGATAGCAGCTTCAGTTCCACCGGGTCATATCCTTCCATTATATATTGCTCCTCTGTCAAATGAAAACAAGTAAGTATTTCATTCCAAATAACTATTCCCGTCATTATATTTCGTTCGACAAGCGTTGCAAAACATTTTTCATTATAATATACAAAGAGGACAATCAAACACTAGAACTGGTTTACACATAGCGTATGTACCATTTCAAGGACATTCAATATATTTTTTCGTATATGTAATAGTACACATATTTTTACATGTAAGTAGACAAAGGTGCATGAACAATTTTATTGAAATTTTGGAAATGTAAATGTTCAAAAGATGTTAGATTAAAAATTTCTTCTAATTCAGTTATTATTAATTTTTAACAAGTATCAGCTGTTCTATATTGTTTCCATTTCTTTGATTTACATAATTAGAAAATAATTTTTTACATACTATCATTTTATATTTTTTTCTATCTTCTTTTTATGTATATAAATATTTTTGTTGAAATACTAAGAACATTTTCTTCCTTTTCATCTCACATTGCAGCGCCGAGAACAAGTAAGTTTACGATATTCTTATAGACATTTTTAAACATTTACATGCTTTGAATGTGGCTTATAAACATATTAATTTGTTGAAGTGAACAGTATTTTTGTTATCTGTACAATGAAATTGTTTTACTTCTATATTGCTTTGTTGCTTCATAGAACTCACTACCGCATTTTAGACCTTAATATTTAAATATGTGTACTTGCCCTTCTTATTCAGCTAAATATATCAATCAGTGCAATTAAAGCTTTTTTTACATACTTGTAGTTATAAGAAATGTATTGCAAACTTTTCTTATGCATTCCCAGAGATATTGAATGGTTAGTCTTTTGTATATATATTATATTTAAAGCTTTATATACACCTCAATACATGTAACAATATACAACTCAGGCTTTTAGAAAACACTATATGCTTTTCTCTTTAATTCAGTTTTATTTAGGCTTTTGTGCTTTGTTTATATTTTCTTTTAGTAGTGAAATATATGAAAAGTATCAAAGCTGACTAATTTAGGAGAGTATTGATGTATTTTTTTTTTATTAAAGAGCTTGCAGAAATGCTACCTTAGGAAATGGTAGCTACCTACAGGGTTCATTGACCTTCTGCAAGGATGAAAATGGAAAAAAGGTGGATTGCCACGCGTTTAAATATATTCTGTCTGAACCAACTAAAAAGTTCAGTAGTAGTAGTAGCAGCAACAGCAACAGTACTCATAGTAATTCGACCAAAACTACGAAATGGGACGAGTACAATGAAGCTCTTAGAGATTTCAAGTGCAACTGGCTTTCAAAAATGGGTAATCAAATTTGTCACCAATGCAGTATTATTTATTTATATAAAATTATTATCATTACTTAAAGTTTTTATTCTTTTTTCCGGTTTCAATTTTACCAATAGCGCCTTCTACTCGTAAGTTATTCGAGTGTGATCAAACGTTATTCCACAAGTTTATGTTATAAAATCCTCTATAATCTATATTTAAAACAGTTGACTTTGTTTCTGTGCATGAATATGAAATGCATAAATCCCCATTGTTTCTTCCTTTGCAATTGATAATTAAATTATGAATCATTGATATCAGAGCAATGAAACGATAATCTTTAATGTTTTACAAGTCTTTCATTCCTTTGAACGACCGTATAAAGTCTATTTGTTGTGTTAAATAAATATGTATTTACATTTTCATGTTGCATCAGGGTTACAAGTACCTTGTTAATAACAAAATCTGGAGACTATGTAAGCAAAATGATAAGTATCTTATTTTTACCAACAGAACCCGGAGAATATGCAAACCTACTATATGGAGAATTGAAGACTCTATTTGCGGACCATTTGCCTGTTCACACTGCCATGCTAATGTCGTTGGATTCACCAGAAGCTCGTCGACATGTACCACACGATGATATCTCAGAAGAATCTGTTTCTCTAGCAAACCAAATCATAAGCGTTGCTGACTTTATGCTCACTAATATAGACCAGGACAAACTCTTAGCTTATTATGGATTGAAGAGTGATCAACGCGATGACGCAGCCAAGATTCGAACGAATATGGAAAGACAGAAGTTTAGCTTGATAAAAGCCTTAGTAAAGAAGGGATGTGCATTGGCACGACTGTACATACACAATACTAAGAAAGAGACTGGAGCAGAACTCGATCCTTATGCACATTTATTAGAAAGTGTTACACATCATTGGCAAGAAGTACAGAAGTTTGCTGAACCAACTGACATTAAGGTAAAAAACTTCATATCATGTTGTATTTAATTCTTACATTTGAATATGTATGGAAGCCATATAATATTTTCTTATTTGATTAATAGGTTATTGCCCTTTCACTATGGCATGCTCATATTAATAATCATTACGGTCGATACTTGAAACTGTTATTGCGTTATTATGAAGAACATCCAGTAAAGGAAGTTGACGAAAAATGTATAGAAATTGCAAGGATCTTAGGATGGGAACATCTGTCACGCCACATTACCACAAGTATACCAGCACGTTATCCACCTTCGTACAGATCGTTTTGATCACTGGTAAATGGTGTTTAAAGTATACTGTCTGCAAATTCACATATTTATGAGGGATAGTAATGCAGACAGTGATATTTTTTAGGTACGATGAAAGATCAGTTTGATATTCTAACAAGAAGAGACTAATCATGGAAAAACAGTTTCCAGTGCAGCTCTATAAAGGCAGAGATACTTCTGTCAAGCCATTCAGATGTATTATACATTTAGGAAAATATAATTTTATTCGTATTAAAAAAGAAAACACACGAAAAAAGTGACATTAGAATAATATTTTAATTTTTGAGCATAAGAAAATAAATCATGTTTACAGATAGACATATGATTTGCTTTGTGGAAATCGTAAAATGATCGATCGGTGTTGGTTAGGTCACAGAAGAAACATTATGAGCAATAACGTAAGATATGGTTTTAACACGTCGTAAACACGTTGCAAATTTGTGCGCATCAAGAAACAAATTTAAGTGTGTGACAATACGTGTATATGTATTTGCACAGAAAAGATGTTAATTATTTCATCGAAAATATTGTTTTATTAATGCATTTTTATAGCGCTCGTCACAACAGTGATGCGCCAAAGTGGAAACTGTACTCGATTTAAAAATTAAAATCTTTAAGTAATGATGGATTATTCTAAAGTATTCATTTTAACTAATACAACATGCATAATTTAAAATCATTTATGTTTTTCAATTTTTACAGTATATTGAATGTAAATAAATATGTACACATACAACCATCTTCTTTATATCTAACAGAATATATTTCATTTTATTAAATTTCGTTATTTATGATTGTGTGAATGAAACTTGTACATCGTACACAATGTATTGATTTTTTGTTGTCAATGTGCTGCATATTACATGTTCTTTGCTTCACACAATAAATACCATACATATTGATGAACATAACAGAAGACTTGAATAATCAGAAAATTCTTTGATTTTGTATGTAATGTATGCTGAATATAAATTCATATTTTTTCACGCGAACTATCATTAATTCAAGTCGTATAAGTTGTTTTATAAAACAAATATTAAGAAAATATAAATCATCTAGCTGAATTACAACTTGATAGAAATTCGTTAAGTGAAGCTTGTTCTTTGACGAAAAATTGTATTGTTTTTATGAAATGACTGACTAAGCGAATAATAAATATACTAATGAAAATTTTTGAATTTAAAATACATTTATTTAAAATGTAAAATTAAAGTACCTAGTTAAAGGAAATAATAGCATGTATATTACTATAAGTTATGCAAATTAACACGAACGAATTTGAAACAAAATTCATCATTTAACCAGCTTCATGGCTTTCAATAGCCGAAACACAAAACTTTCTAAGATCATAATAAATTAAATTTACAAAGAAATCATGTTTTCGTATATAAAATTTGCAAGTAATACATAGCACATTCGTCAAAAGTTGCATAAAGAATTATGTCCTTACTACCATTGTTTTGCGAAAATTTTCCTACTTATACGAAAGATTATTTTGACAGTAATGTAAAAGTACTTTGGTACAATCCAGAATTTTCACAAAGTCGATATCCACCGGGACAAAAGGGTAATAAGATATCTTTTCACTTGGATTATTTTACTGAATGTATGAAGCTTATATATTTACTCTTTTAGTTAGCAAAGCATGTACCCTTATTTGTCTTCTGGTTGCTCAGTTGATATCACAAACAGAATTATTAGTAGATGATATAGAAAGATGCCATAAAATAATTAGTATTATAGCTGAAGCTATGATAAAGGGTAATGCTATCCATACATGGAGTATTGAGGAAGGATTAATTTCCCATCCGTATCTTAGTACCGAAGAAGCATTAAAAATTGGCGGCAGAAACTTATATTTATTAAGAGAATGGGTATAAATTTAGGTTTGTTATATTTAAGCATTCAATGTTTAAAATGCTATAATTTTGTTGTAGACATTTCAAGTATTTTATGAAAGAATCGAAAAGGGTTTATTTCTTCATATAAGTAGGTTTTTACATAAATGGTACAAGCTAGCAAAATCTAAGAATTTATTCATGCTTCTTATTACTTGTGGACGTACAGTATTATTTATATTTCAAGAAGAAACGTATATGGTAAGCTGTTCACTAAAACTTGTGAAAGATATTCCAAATGTATGTATTATCCTTAGGTAACTTTCTTTGACTCCCATAGTCACAATGCAGTTACAAATCCAAGACGAGGATTAGTTATTGCACAGGTAAGAATGTATAATTATATGTAGTAAAATGGATGTTTAATAGATACTGCAAAATTTTGCATCTTTAATTGATAGTAATAGAAATGCATGTTAGATTAACAGTAGAAAAAATAATGTAGACAAGTATAGACCAGTTGGAACATTTGTGCCATTGGTACATTGAAGATGTATTAAATAACTGTTACAATGCAGAAGCAGATCAATATGAACTAGCATTTTTGTATCCATACAATGCATCGTGCTGTGGCTGTAATTCTTTATGCAACTGTGGCAACTGTTATGAGAAACATAATAACAGATTAATTGAATAATCTAATATTTTATATCAAAACATATAATAAAGCATATGTAAATATCCTAAAAATGATATAAATATATTAAACGAAGAAAAAATGGCAAAACATTAAATGTAATCGAGTAACTTATTTTATTACTGTAAGTTTAAACATTTTCCTTAAAACTGTTGTTATATAATGATTACGGAATTTTTTATTTAATTAGACATGCTATACAGAGTAAGACTGACAGGTTTATTTACATTATTTACATTTTCACTCTAAAACTATTACAATTCTTTATTGTTCACGCAATGCTTAAACTATTCGAAAAAAATAACATAGCTTAAATCTGTAAATTCTATGTACTTTAGTATCACTTAAATGAAATGTAATATACATTTTTTTGTGAACATTTCTTTCTGCATTGTGTGAACGTATTCCTGACAATATTTAACTGGACTTTTTTCTGTAATGAATACATATGTCAGAAACTTCGTTATTTTATCTATTTTAACATTTTTATAAAATATAATCCAAAATTTGTGGACGATATATTTTCATATTGCTAACTCTCTACTTTGCACCTTTCAATGTTGATATACCTAATTGGATATAATGTTTTGATTCCTTATCTGTTAACTATAAAGTTATAGAGACATATCTCTTTACATATTATGTTTCTGCAATCTCTTTGTATCATATATAAATTAAAGTGATTAATAATCTTGAAAAATTCACATATTCTATACTAAACTACAAAAGCATTAATCACAAATTTCATTGTGAAATAGGAAGAAAACATTAAATATAAAATACCATTAGTAGCTTTAACATTTTGTAGTACATACAAAAAATTTTACGAGAATTCAAGTTATCTTCATTAGTTGTTCGTTCATTTTAATGATCACACGCGCATTCACTTTATACAAGTTTGAAATCAATAAATATTCGAAACCAAAAAGTATTTAATCTGTAATAATCACGAATAAAACTCAGAATTTGAACTTGTAAAAAATTCTTAATTTATTTTCCCTATCATCTATAGTACCTCAGAATTACAATATAAATATTACTCAGCACTAACAAAACAGAAATAAATCTTCTTTTATCGCTCGTTCACACGAGTGATCATGAGAGAGGTAAGCATACCAGTGCCGAAATAGCATTAAGTTTAAAATACAGATTTTTCTCTCTGTGTTTTTTGTGTGTATATTACAAGTGTTACATAGAGTGTAAAATTTATTTAATAACAATTTTTTAACAACGCAATTTCTAGAAATTACTATCTACAAAAAGGTATAAACGAAGTTCTCTTATGATTTCCCTTCTTTTCAAGCCAAATTCGTGCAAAGGAACACAGTGAATGACTTCTTCAGTTTGCAAATACCGTCGGTAATTGAGCAACATTGTTCACTGTTATATTTTCATTTTTAGAACGAACTCATTATACATCATATTACTTTGTACAGATAAACGAATATGATTTATCTGTGAAACTACCACGTAAACGTAATATAATTTTCAATTAAGTTCATACAAAACTTTTAGTATTACGTGAGAGTAACCTCTTTGTTTACAAGTATTATTTTATATCATTTCTTTACATTACAGAGTTATTATACACCACAATCAATTTTAATAATTATAGTATCTGCCTCTTTATCGTGCTCTGTACACAAAGTAAAATGATGTTACTTTGTCAGAAAAATATAATCAAGTATCACTTGAAGAATATACGATTTTATAATTGAATAAATAAAGCTTCTTTTTTTGTATGAAGATGTGATAAAAAGATGTTAGAGGGACTGACGAACTCTAGGCTGTGCCCATTCTACAAAATCATCTATTAATACAGGCCAGGCTCCCTCTTCATCATAATTGCTCATATCAGGATTGATCATAAGTGCAAAATCTAACAGTAAATTCCATGTATCTTTTGGAATTGACCTTTTATGGTGTTCCTGAAAAAGGGTATAACTAATTTATATTATAATTGTTACAAATTTTGTTCCTTTATAGTTGCCTTCCATAAAATTATATTCTTTTTTTAATGTTTTATAAATATGTATGCACAGATCTCTTACCTGTAAAAATTGACACCATAAAGGCAGGAATTTAAATTTATCATCTAATACGATGTTCCAATAAGCAATAGCCATATCCAAATCCAAACCCTTCTGTCCTGGATTTTTCGCATAATTGAATGTAAAATGATAAAAATCTTTAAATTTTTGAGGGTCTCTTAATTCATTTTCTAAACTACTTAAGCGAGCTTTTAATTTATCTATACTGTCCACACTGAAAAGCAAATTTTAATAAATTGTATTGTAATAATATTTAGAAACAAGACAAATAAAATAAGTGGGCAATAGTGTATTACCCTAAATCCATCATGCCATTCATAAATTCATCTTTAGTAAATTCACATTGTGTTTCTGCTCGAAACTTCCATGCAATAATTAATACTAATTTACTTTCAGGACTCAAATCTAAATCGTCCAGAAATTTCATTATTCCATCTGCTGTAATTTTGTCTGGCTCATTTGGATCTATTTCAAGCATACAATCAAATGTGGTAAATATCAATAAAACATTCTTAAATGATACAGTGGGATATCTTATACACAACTGTACAACAAACAAATACTATAGCCCACAGTATTTTTCATTAAATTAAATTTCTTATACCAAACAAATACATTACAACAAATGTTGAATTGTCTATTGTATATACAAGGCATATATAAATCATGACCCATATATGGATTAAGGAATACATGAGTATAAAATATGCTGACCTACATATGTGTCAAAGGACTATTAACACTATATATATTTTGAAATATGTATCCTATAACAAACAAATAATACCCCACTGTACATCAATTTAGATTAAATATCTTTTATATGATTACCTTGATATCGATTAAACAATATTTCTAACTTTTTCTTGTCTACCGAATTTTTTGGCTCTTTATAATATGCTTCAGGATTTTGAAAATAATTATCACTCGCCAGGTCTAATTTCCAATCATTTTGCGCTAAACAGTATATTGCTGTCTGCTCTTCAGTATGAGTGAATGTAATGAACTTCTTTACTTTGTCCCTTTGTGAAAACTTTAACTTATGCTACAATAACAATTAAATATACCATTATATCAGTTACACTTCACTTAAAAAGTTTTACAATATAAATATATATACTTATATATATACATTACAAAATTTCAGACTTTTAATTAATTATAACACTAATAATAAACCTAAATAAAGTTTCAACATCCAAAATAGTTAAGATGCTGTGTATATGATCTGCTTGAAAAGCTATTGTGAATTTTAAAAATTCGTAAACATTAATGCATTTTATTACAAATGCAGATATAAAAATAAATGCATAATCTTACAATATCATTGAACACTTAATATACCACAAAATTGATTTTGAATTTTAAACAAAAGGGAACATTAACTTGGAATCACAATAGGTTATTTTAACATTTTTATTACATTGTCACAAACGTTCGAATTAGAACACAATTTCATTGATAAAAAGAAATCACAAAAAATATTGTATTAGGTTAATTCATAAATTTGTTAACAGCTCACCATTTTAGCTAATTTTAGGCCACCGAAAGCCAAAATATTATTTCCTTTGCACTAAACTTGACATGAACATGCGCATGTTCTGTGAAGGTCCTGAGAAATGCAAATACACCAACAAGACTATAAGTAATGCCACCAGACGTTGTTAAACGAAAACAATATCGCGGGTTATTTAAAACATTCACATTTAATTTTTTGAGCACCACATTTTATGTCATGGTAATAAAGAAAATCATTAGGTACATCACGTAATGCAATTTTACATTTGGTGGCATCGGTGCAAGGTCTTTTTTTCATAGATCTTTCATATGAGAGGATGTTATGGGCAAGGTTTTCCTAAAATAACAACAAAATACTATCGTATTGTTTGTTCAACGGAAGATCATACCTATCAGCAGATAAGTTCTTGTTCATTCTGCACATTTTAGTTTTGATTGGTTCCAACATACTTTGTAACTAAGAGTAACGTGCATGCGCTCTTACAACATTCGAGACGCTGAGAAAATCTACCCAGTGAATAGGAATGTTATCTATTCCTTATAATCCAAAAATTACAAACTATCAAAGTTCTAAAGTTCAAAGATACAAAATTTTCAAAATCCTGATATTACACTTTCGGCCTTAATACATTGAGATCTATATTTCAAGTGTCTGCCCTACATTATTATCTCTTCTCCTTATTGATATATTTTTGTCTACCATGTATATGATCGGCGGGTTGAAGAGCGCAGTGTTATGAAACGAGATGGGAGCAGACGTAAGGCATAAAAAAGGCACTGAGTGATAGTTCTATTCTATACCACGTTTGTGGTATGATTAATACTGTTGGTCATACTGGCAAAGTGATAGTTTGATTAGGGAAATGGTTTTAAAGCAAAGATGGCAGTGAAAGGTTGTGCACGAATTTTCCTCCTCTTAATTTTGTGTATTTTCCTGTTAAATTCGTGTAACGGAGCCGCGACAGACATTGAATTAGATGCAAAAGCACAGTTATTGCACAGACTTGACAGTTTAAATCTTTTGTTATATACATTTTTATTAATATTAACTGTTTTGACAATATGGACATTTAAGCATCGACGACTTAGATTCCTTCATGAAACTGGTTTAGCTGTTATTTATGGTAAGTCGTCTGCTACAATACTAATTTACGTGATTCAATCATTGATTTGTGCCTTATTATGCAAGTTTTTATTTTAATTTTAATATATAGCTATGACAAGCGTTTTGACGTTTCATTATTCCATTCATACATATATATTAAATATTTTACTATTTGAAATATATATATTGTCGTGTAAAAATATAATACAATATTTTCATTAACAATTTTCACGAATAACATTATACGCAAATATAGGTACAATTAATATTGTAATGTAGTGTCTTTTCTTAAAAACTATTCTGAATAAATATTTTTCTGTTTGCAAAAATAAATTTTAAAATGTAGTTTTAAGAGTAAATTAATATTTTATTTCTTTTGAAGAAGATCAAGATAGTTTTAGCACAGTAATTATTATTTAATAAACCTGACTTGAATTTTTATATATACAAATGAACAGGAAAATCTATTTATAGATGATTATATATAACATGTTTATAAATATGAATATAATTCTAAAATCAAAAAAATAAATAGAATTCATGTACTTGTTAATTTTGTATAGATCACAGCGGAAATTTACTGGTGTACTATATCAATTTTTTTAGCTTCGTCAAAAATTTTGTTTATTATAAATATTTATATACATAAATGTTCTCTAGGTTTAATTATAGGAGCTATAATTCGTTATGGCTTTACATCGGGTAGTACCATTCTCCATATGCCTGTTGTGCCAGACAACAGTAGTAAATACAATCAATCAGTTCCTCCAGATACGTTATGGTTACGTTTTCCAGAAGATAAAGGAGGTGGTGATATTAAAAACAAAACATTTGCTTATTCATTTCGAGGAGAAATTTATAAGCAGGATAATGAAATTGATCTAAAGGTATAACATTTTAACCAAACAATTTAAAAAAATATATTATTTAAAATTAGGAGTTATAAAATGTAATTAAACTTTGTAGGCTACCTTTGATCCTGAGATTTTTTTTAATATCATTTTGCCACCAATAATTTTTCATGCTGGTTATAGTTTAAAACGTGTAAGTAATATTATTGTTGTATTTATATTTTGTTTTACTTAGAAACAATATGTGGAATAATAAATTTTGTAACTTTTTGTTTCAGAAATACTTCTTTAGAAATTTAGGAGCAATTCTTATGTATGCTTTAATTGGAACATCTATATCAGCATTTGTTATTGGGTATATTTTTGTATATATAGTAAACATAAGTGATTAATAAGTAGCCACATATTTCCTTATCGTAACAACCAGTTTATTTACATCTTTTAGAGCTTTTGTATTGGATATTTCTTCTGATAATTACATGTCCATAGGTCATTTAGATTGAGTATATCTGTTGTTTTTTTCATAAACTGTAGATATAAGAAACAATTCTTTGCAAGACAATGAAATATTTTTTTATCGTGCCATCTTTGTATATATATATATATGTTTTGATCCTTTTTTTTCAGAGCTTTGATGTATGCCTTTGTACAATTAATACCACATCTATCTGCGTTTACATTTTTGGATACTTTATATTTTGGTGCATTAATATCTCCTACGGATCCATTGACAATAATTTCTATTTTTAATGACTTACATGTAGATGTGAATTTATATGCTTTAGTATTTGGAGAAAGCGTATTAAATGATGCAGTTGCAATTGTACTTAGTGGGTATGTACATAAAAATATAAAAATATATTTTATGTTCATGCTTGTTTAAATGCATACACAAATATAATTGTATATTTCATTGCAGTTCTATACAGAATTATGGAGAACGTTATCAGTCTGGATCAGGTGGATTTGAAACAGTAGCATTTTTCCAAGCATTTGGGGATTTTGTTGGAATATTTAGTTTGTCTTTATTTATTGGTGCTACAATGGGCTGTATTACTGCATTATTAACTAAATTCACTAGAGTCAGAGATTTTCCTCTTCTGGAATCAGCATTATTTGTTCTAATGTCCTACAGCACTTTCTTAATTGCTGAAGCATCTGATTTGACAGGTAAATATATATTAAATTTAGACAATGTTTCTATCACACTGTATAATATTCTTCTTAATAATTAATAAATTTGTATATAGGTGTGGTTGCTGTCTTATTTTGTGGAATTTGTCAAGCACATTATACATACAATAACTTAAGTCCAGATTCTCGTCAACGAACAAAACAATTGTTCGAACTTCTAAACTTTTTAGCTGAAAACTTTATATTCAGTTATATTGGTGTTTCGATGTTTACTTTTCCAAAACATCATTTTGATCCAGGATTTATTTTTGCAGGATTTGTATCCTTAATTCGAAATACTGTTTCTTTGTTTATTCTAATTAATATTTTATGTTACATAATTTTCATATAAAATCCTTAATGTTTTATTATAGCTCTGTGCGTTACTAGGTCGCGCAGCCAATGTATATCCATTATCTTTTATATTAAATTTGGCGCGAAAACCGAAAATATCATTAAATTATCAGCACATGTTATTCTTTGCTGGTTTACGCGGAGCTATGAGCTTTGCTCTAGCTATTAGAAATACTGTGTCCGATGCTCGACAAGCTATGTTGACAACAACAAGTTTAATTGTTATTTTGACAGTTATCTTTCAAGGTGGAGCAACAACACAGTTTTTAAGTTGGTTTAATATACCGTAAGTATTAATTGGATTTTATTATAACTATTCTTGCAAATTTTGTTTTTTAAAATTATTTAATTTGGTTTTAGAGTTGGGGTAGATGAAGAAATAGAAGGATTATCACACAATGGAATGCGTAGTGTAAGTATTTCTAATTTTTCGTTAAATTATTGTAAAGTAATAGTATTAGCACAAATTGTACAGAAGTAATGAAATTGTATTTACACTAACAATGTTATGTGTGCTAGATTGCGTTTCTAGGCATATAGACGAAACTAAAGTCATGTTTATTAATAGCTTTATTCTAGAAAAAGCTATGTAAATAATCATTGAAATGTAGTTTAGCTTATTTATTGCTACTATTTCTTTTACAGGAATGCATTTTTTTATGTATGTTTGAAGTTCTTTTAAGTGCATATATTCATGGCCTTGTTACTCATGACAGTAAAATGAAACTATTATTTTTTATTATTTAAAATTAATAAATGTACTAAATAGTATAACAAATGCAGAAACTTTAAGGGTACTATTAAAATACTTAAAATTGATTCATTTTTATTCACTTTTAGTATACTGAAATTGAAAGAAATATATTTATCTGTTTTTTCTTTATCTTATTTCATATGAAAAAAAAAACTACGAAATCTTAAGCATTAAAAGATAATTATGCTGCTAATACTTATTTACTTTGTATATAATTTTTTTACAGCATTTTGAAAATTGTCAAAAGCAAAATTTTAATAAGATTTTTTTTTTAAATATATACTTATATATTTAGATTTCAATATCAGAAAGCATCTCTGTACATATACAAATTTATTAAAAGAAAGTCATAAATTTATAATATCAATAGAATGAATCTAAACATGAATTTTCAGAACTTTAGTTGTTAGCTATAGTTACTGTATAGTATATCAGATAATTTAATGTATATGTATAAAGTGATGTAAATCATAGAAACTTATGCACTATCTTTTAGAAAAATTTTAAAGTGAAGATATTTACGCATGACTGCTTTGATTCAAATTATTCTCATACTGCTACATTTTCTATTCTGAATATTGAAATATCATTCTCCAAACTACTATAACATACACTTTTATCATGTATTATGATTAAAAAGTTATGCAACTTTTCCTGTTCATAAATTATGCAAGAGCATTATAGTCATAAATGTTACTTCTCCTAGTTACACTTAAGTAACATTGGGTTATTTATGCACATCGAATACTAAAATAATAAATAGCTTGCACTGAAACTTAATTGTTTGAGAATTCCAGCATGTTTAATTACAGTTTGTAATGAAATTGAGAAAAATGCTTTGTTAATCCTAAATAATTGCTCTTCACAATTAATTTAAAAAGAAAAAAACTGGAATTTAACATACTAATGTTAATAGTCTGGTGGCGAAGGTGGCTTTGGAGATCTGGACATGCATAGGGAGAGAAGTCCTCCGGTATGTTTTCATATTAATTCAAAAATTGAGTTATACTATTTATGTGGTGATTAACAGCTCATGTATTTTGCACAAATATATAAACCATATTCTATATCTATACATTAGGATTAATTTAGTTCAATACTATTTTTTAGCACATATTAAATTGTTTCTTGCACAATTATACAATATACAAATAAGTTTGCATATTGATTGTGCATATTATGAATATTGTATTATGAGTTGCTTTCTGTCATCAGTACAGATGTATAAGATAACGATATTTGAAGTAGCAATGATAAAAATTATCTTATTAAAATGTTTGCAATGTTCTTTAATTGTTATGCTGTAGCAAATGTTTTCCATAAAATTATTAACATTTTTTAAACCTGCAATTACAAATATATTAAATTCTGCTGAGAGGTATATACTAATTGCAACCTTTAAACAAATTGAGTATAAAGTAATATGTGGAATATTTATTTTGAAAAGCGCTATTTATTTATTTTTAATGCTTTGTTTAATTACTAAATTTAACATTGTAAAAACTGAAAGAATAATGTTATTAGCGATTTTGTAAATGCTTGTATTTAATTATTGCAAATTAGAAATTTGGTTTGGATTCAACTATATATTTGTAAAATGTATTATTTACAAATTAATGTTGCTAAAATTGATTTTATATTTAAATTTATAATTTTATTTTTGTCAAATGTGTGGTCAATCTGCTAATTGCATGTGCTTAAACATTTTGTTCTGTATCATTTTTGTTATCCATTCTGTATGTTAATGATTCGTAGTGTATAAAATGTTTATAAATACTCATATACATTTATATTTATTAACCAAACATACACAAACATAATTAACAAAATATACAAAGATAATGATAAACAAGCAAGCATGTTTCTTAATGCCTATTAAAATTGTTAAATTTAATGTATAAATAATTTAATTAATTTAAAGTTATTTTCTTACAAATTTACAGTAAGAAATTAATTAGAATATAGCTTTTAAAATATTGCAATACATGAACTTCCAAACTGAAATAAATTGAAAAAAGAATGTCATAATCATACAGGATGGATAACTAAAATATCCTTCACATTTCACAGTATAATTCTATGCAGGATGGATCATTACCAGGCAGTGGCATAAAACCTAATGAAAAAGCATTACTTGCCAGAATCTGGGGCGATTTTGATACTCGCTACATGAAACCATTTTTAACACACTCCAGGCCTACGTTGCTGGAAACATTACCCGTTTGTTGTGGGCCTTTAGCTAGGATTCTTACAACAACGCAACAAATGACGCAGGTATGAAATATAATCTGGTAACAATAATTTTTTGAAGAATGGATTATAATTGTTCGCGTAAAATGAGAGTATGTTTCACACTAAGTTTGTTTGTTTGTCTCAGGATGAAGCAGTTAGAAAAGCAGATTCAGATTCAGATTTTTGTCTGGAAGATCGTGAACTCGAGCGACGAAGGACTAGTGTTCAACCGGTGAGTTTTCATCAACCTAATCTCAATTACACTATTAATCCGTGCTATCAACCTAACAGCACAGACGTCACTAATCCTGATGAACCTTATGTAATTCTTAATTTACACAGAAGGTAGAAGTAATGAATTTAAATTCAAACATTTCAATTGAAGTTATATGAAAGTATTTCTTATATTGGTATAAATGGGTTTATCACTTATACCTAATTTTTGTTGTAATTATATTTTAAACACTTTTCAAATTATCTCTTCGTTATAACATTTACATATAAATATACTTAAAGAAAAACATGTGTACAACATAAACTTTCCATTTTATATGAAAGTAACAGTGACATCTATAATATGCTCAGCTTTCTATTAACATTCGTTACCATTATACAAATGTTACTTAACACCTATCCACTCCTAACTTAACAAACAATTGCTTATATTAAATTCTTTCATATAAAATGTACGAAAATATGCATGAATACTTATGTTTTTTCACTGTAGAAACACAGTGATACACATCTGAAGTTATTAAATAACATATGTTTTATTTTCACCTTTAAATATAATTTATTTGTTACATATATTTATGTACAGTATCTGTACATTTTACATGTGTTTTAATTAGCCATTCAAATATAGTTTTATTCATGTAGAAAGACTATATTGTATTATTGTCATATAGGTATTTATGGATTATTAACGATGCCAACAGTGTTTCTGCATTGATAAAGGTTCAATTAGTGATAAAATAATACTGAAGTTGAAAAGCCATTGTATAGGCGAGAATGTACATATAGTCTTCTTACCAAAGTTATTTTACAGATGCAATAAATGTATGCAACTATTCTAGTCATTAATTACCTGTAATAAACATATGAAGAATTAATGGATTAGAATTTATTTAAAATTGGTGTGTGTGTAATATTGGAGTTTAACACTTCCTTATCCATGTAACGTAAATTAAATATTGAGAAAACTATTTTATTTTTTATTTCTGCATATGATTTTGTTTCATTCGAAAATTATGTTTAATGCCTAGTGTTAAAGTCGTACTTTTGAATATTAAATAAAAAATACATTTTTTAAATTTAATTTTTGCCTGACCTTTCTTTGTCTATTTGAAAATTTGTTTAGTCTCCATTTGATCGCGTTCTTACGATTTTTTTAGAGAAAAAGAAATGATGATGATGATGATGAAGACCTAAGAATCATTGGAATGGATGGGTTTATTCCATTAAGAACATTGTAACGGGACAGAAGACATTCAAAATAATATTTTGAGAAGATTATTTTTAAACAATTTATAATAACTATTTGGGATAGAAGTAACAAACATAATTATTTTATATTTTTTAAAACTTTTTAATAGCACCTTCAATTGTTTTTCTTTTTTTTATAATAATATTACACAGGATTTACATAATAGCTAATATTTTTGTTACGTTTATAAGTGTTAATGTCTTATTTTTCTATTTAAAGAGATTGATATATATTTTAATATAAACAATAATGTTTATTCTTTTGGTATTTATGTCAGTAATGAAAAAAGTATTATTTCATTGTTATGTTAGTTGTTTGTTTCTCTATTTTTTTTAATGTGGTTATTTTTGTTGTATTTGTAAATTGTTGTTAATATAATACATTTCATTGCAAATGCAAAATACCTACAAAATTAAGAAATGTATTATATACATATTGTGATGTTTTTGAAAGTACTAACACAAGCAAAAAAGTTATAGTACAAAGTCTGAAAAAATTTTGATGTGTATAAAAATTTGCATAAAATTATTAAACTTCTTAAACATATTGTAATGGAACATTAAACATAATTTTCAGTATTCAACCGCGAATCATTTAATTTTTTTTTAGCGTATTTCAGTAATGTCAAATTATTAAAGATATTAAAAGTTGTGTCGTGTAAACGTTACACCTTGTAATTTTCACTTCTTTTCCTAATAGTTGTAGTTGATTTCGTACTACTATACTGAAGAAGATTAGATTTACACTTATCATTTAATTAATTAATATTATTGCATGTAGCCTGAAGAACCAAAGTACTTGCTAGTCATTAATTTTCACATTGAAAATGCTGTTTAATAGGTGCTGCTTGCACATTACTTATGCTATTAGTAACAAATCATTTCTACAGAAAAAATAATCTTTCATATTTTTTTTTTGATCATTCACAAATACTTTTCATTACATAATTATACGTTGCCACGGTTAATCACTAATGTATACTTTATAGAACACTTAAAATAACTAAATGATTGCACACGTAGTTTGATTGGTACTTTATTGGTATATTTAAATAAAAATGAGGTGTGTAGATGTTTCATAATTTTATGTAATTTGTATTTGCGTAATAATAGTACTATTAACATTTTGCTTTAAATTTTTGTATAACATATAATCGTGCAATCGATAAAGTAATTACTTTTAATAGTAATAAATCTTTTACAGATACATTCACATTCTGATGATAGATATTAATTCTAAACAAATTATTTTTCTGTTCTTATATTATTTATGTTACCTTGTAATTTGATTTGTGGTGCTTATTTGTATTTGGTTTCTCCACAGACACATATAAGGAGCTCTCCAAACAGAATGCATTTGTAAAAGCGAATATAATATAATTTATTCAGTTGTATACATTATTGAGGATCTGGCTACAATCATAACTTAAATATTAAGTAATTCCTTATTTACTGTTTAATATTTCCTAAACAATTGTACTATTTAACATTAATATTATTTTATATAAATCCTAAAATCAGTATGTTTAATTTCCAATAATTTTGTTATTAAAATACTTTTATTTTTTAAAAATGATACAAAACATATGTGTATGCTTTCTAATACATTGTAATTATTACGTCAAGTAATATTCAGTGAGAAAAGTATAACATTGCTATGTGCGTATGCGATGTTGGTGTCAAACATTATTTTTACATATTACTGTTGTATTATAGTTTCAATTAATGTTGATTATATTTTTCTGCTGTTTGTTTTCTTCTGCAAATATTGTTAAATATTTTGGACAACAAAAGACAGTATAACAGAAATTGGATGTAAGTATTATTACAAAAAGAAACAAGTAACAAGGAGAAGCTGGTGAAAAACTTGGGTTTTATAAACCATGTGATCATGATACATTCTAAAAATTGTAATAATAACATTATTCTATTACAATGTTAAATTGTAAAAGAAGAAGAATTATTACAATCCTTCTCCTTATGTGATAATTTGTTTACTGTAACTATAGTATTTGTATGACAAAAATTTCATTCCAAATACTTGTTTAATTCTGTGTATGTTATGTCCAATTTTGAACAATGTTTTAATTGAAAATTTTTGCATATATATGTAAAATTGATATCCTAAAAATTGTATTTGGTATATCATCAAATAATATGTAAGAATCTAGAGGTGGATTCTTGATGTATTTAATACTTTGTGGGGCAGCTGGGAACTGTGATGGGAGAAGTTAGTCCGGGACCACTACCATTGCACACACGCGTCGCCTTGCCAGGTTTGGTCGGCAGACATTTATAAAGACTAATTGACATTGGTAAATAAACTTATCTTTTTAAATGTGTAATATTCTGTGTGCAACTGATAAATGTATTTATTTAAAAAGCTTGTGCAAACTATTATATCCAGTAATCTATTATGTATCTATCATACATAAAATTTAAAAGATATTTCTGTTATCCAATTTTTTCATTCAATTATTTAAATTCATTTTTGAATGTATTAATTATTAAAATTGAAATGGGTAAATGTACTGTCTACCCATTTATACTTTCATTTGATAATCAATATAGCCATCTTACTGTCCTTTGATTGTTGCTATAAAATTAAATTCATGTTTCAATTTGTAAGTAACTCACATATTTACAATATGGATATATATTATTTAACACAGTATGTTACATTTATTGGTTGTACTAAATTTAACCAAGTTCATTATACAAATTATACGAAAAGCGTTTACTGGTAAATGTTATTTATAATTTTTTATTATATAATTTACTATTCAATGGAGGTCCTGGCTTAGCATGAATAAAATATGATAATCTGACATCAACTTATATTTGCTAAATGTGCATTGTACATTCAAATATAATAATTCACAAGGATAGTGAAGTATAATAATGGTAAATTAGGAACTTATATATTTCCTGAGAGACATTATATTTGTATAAACTTATGTTTAAATTTAAAATACCATAAAACTTTTGTAAGTTCATACCACACTATTCAAAATAAAATAAATGACATCCTTGGTTTTTAACATATTTGGATGTATTTCCAATAATTTAGAATTAAATTTGTAATACACTTGGTCATAGAACTTAATTTGTTCGGCAAATTGATTTTGCTGCCATATATAGTCATATTTGCATTCAAGGTGCAGGACACTTTATGTATCGTATATAAATCCATACTTTTTATACAATAATTTGTAATTATGTGTGAAGTTTAAGAATCGAAGGAAAAGAAATTTATAAAGATGAAAAAATTCAGAGCAAAATAATTTATTTGAAAAATTTAAATATGCATTAATTAAGATTAGTGCCAAAGTTTACTTAGCAGTTTAAACAATGGTGTGTACTACTTTCTTTGGAAATTATTGTAAATGTTGGTGTAATATCTTTTAAATTTATATATTATTTTAAGAAAGCATACAAAGTGCATATTATAAGCTATGTCAACATAAAAATGAAATAAAACGACTCTGAAAAATATAATCTAATTATTTTGTAGAAATGTATGTTATTATCAGTTAAAGTAATATTTTATAAATTATGTTTATTATTAAATATTCGTTATAATGTAATGAATAAGTATGTTCCAATATGATTTATGACTATTACACATCACAATATTTTATGCAACAGCATAAAACAAGAAAGTAACAATAGAAATACATGGATTTTTATTTTAAATGTTGGCTGTGAACATTTAACAGAAATATTTGAATATAAATAATTTACATTTTAAGTACAAACATTCAAAAGCAGCATATTAAGAAACTATGTCACAATTACAATTAGTAAATTATTTTAATCACATGAAATAAATCATACCTATTGATTTACAATGTTACATAAAAGAACAGGATACTAGCAAATAGTATTAAAAGCCTTTTTTATGTATTTATGAATTGAAGAACATGTAATAATTATTGCAATGTATACATGTATGAAATAATGATGTGATATTATGTACTACACTTTACTGTGTTTAATAAAATATTTGTAAAACCACATTTAAAATATATTAAATTTAATTACATTTTATAAATAAATCCATTGAGCATAATATAAAATATTATATTTCCATTTTAATTTTACATATTCTTATTCTAACAAATCTATACAATTACTTGGTCTTTGATTATTTTTCTTATATCATCAGTAACAGAAAACATTGGACCATGACCAGGTATAATAAAATCTGCAATATTTGCAATATAGCATCGCATTTGAGATTGAGTTTTTTGCAATTCTGTAGTTCCAAGTTCTTTCCAAATTGATGGATCTAATATATCTTCTTCTTTTTCAAACAAATCTCCTATAATGCAAATTAAAGTATATAATCAGTTTAAAATATTTAAAAGGTGTACTAATATATGAAGAGACCTGTTATAGCATAACATGTAGTTTTAGTCTTAACTAAAACAGTAACATCTTCAGATGTATGGCCAGGAGTTGCCACAACTTTAACTTCAGGACATATTTGATACTCTTCTGTATTTGTAATAATTATAATATTTATACATTAAGTAACATATATTACTTTTGAACTTCAATATATTTAAGACACTTTACCCTCCTGTAAATTTTTATCTAAAAACATTTCACCACGATGAACACAAGTTCCAACTATGTGTTCTGCATTTAAAAAAAGATTATTATTCCCTATGTGATCTGCATGACTATGAGTACAGACAACATAATCAATATCATCAGGTTTCATATCATGCTGTGAAAGGGCTGAAATAAAGTTTTTAATAAAGTACTATTGTAAAAGATCAAATGAAAAATCGTTGTTTGATGATAATATTTTATCACAAAATAAACTTTACGGTCGTTAATAAAATTATACCTTGTAATATTTTATCCCGATCCCAAGCTGTCATAGTATCAACAATAATATTCTTTGTTGCTTTTATTAATGTACAAGAACAATTTGCTTTCATTACATTATTCTCAAGTTTTTCGGAATATCCACTAAATAAAACAATAACTTGACACATTTTGTCAAATTAAAGGATATAATTTTATGACTTTATTTATATTAACTTTTATTTTATACAGCGTATATTTTATATTTTATATAAGTAATATTAGATATAATCATTTTGTTAAGAACTCATTATTCGTTCAATACATGCCGGATCAAAATATTGTAGGTTATGTATGTATAGACTGAAGGATTCATAACATAGCAATCATTAAAATGAAATTGGTAAATATAAATATTGTATTAGTATTAGACTCTTTTAATATAATAGTAAATTAGTTTTGTACTTATTAACAATGATTACATTTAATAATATCTGCTACTGTAATTCTAAGTTATGTATTCATAAACATTTATAATTAATAAAAATTATTTAAGACATAACTTTTGTTTACAATTTTTTATTATTACTTGTGATTTGTAGTAACTATATCTTGTTAATATTTATTATAATTATAGTATTGTTTATCAAGTGAACCAACAAAGCCATGTTTGGTTTTGAGTTTCAAAGGGATTACTTTGATGTTGGATTGCGGTTTAAATATGCAATCTATACTGCATTTTATGCCAATGCCCATGGTTCCTAGTGCAAAATTTAATTCATTATCATCTTGGCTTCCTCGCGATAATCATCAAGATTGGCAAATAGAAGGGGTTTGTATATTTGATTGCTTGAATGAAAATATAAACAAAGCTATATATTTGATGTACAAAGTTTAATTTATATGGAGTAATTGTATTTTAGGAGTTAAAAGAATGCTGTGGTAGAGTGTTTGTGGATTCTACACCTGAATTCTCTCCACCTTTGGAGAAAATAATAGATTTTTCTGAAATCGATGCTATTTTAATATCCAATTATACTTGCATGTTGGCTTTGCCATTCATAACAGAAGATAGTGGTTTTAAAGGTATTATCTATGCTACGGAGCCCACATTACAAATTGGAAGATTTTTTATGGAAGAGTTAGTAGAGTTTATTGAACAAACTCCTAAAGCAACATTAGCCAAACACTGGAAGGAGATGTTACATGTATTACCTCCTCCACTTGCAGATGCTCTTAAGCCTAAATCTTGGAAACACATATATTCTATGTCTGCTGTTAATACTGCTTTGTCATATATTCAAACAGTTGGATATGACCAAAAACTGGTAAGTGCATTCTGTTCTATCCTAAAATATTTGTACATCTTCTCTACTTTCATAGGACATATATGGAGCATTAACAGTAACACCTATAAGTTCTGGCTATTGTTTGGGTAGTAGTAATTGGTTAATTTCATGTGACCATGAGAAAGTTGCATTTGTAAGTGGATCTTCTACATTGACAACTCATCCACGACCCATGGAGCAGGCTACATTGAAACATGCTAATATGTTAATACTAACAGGTTTGACTCAGACACCTACTGCAAATCCAGACACTATGCTTGGAGAACTTTGTATGACTGTAGGTAGGTAAACATTTTTTTATTTATTTAATGACTTAATATTTATAATATATTTATATTGAAATTAAATTTTATAGCAATGACTCTTAGAACTGGTGGATGTGTCTTGATTCCATGCTACCCATCTGGAGTAGTATATGATTTATTTGAATGCCTTAGTACACATTTAGATAAATCAGGTTTTTCACAAGTTCCTTTATTTTTTATATCACCAGTAGCAGAAACTTCTTTAGCATACTCAAACATTTTAGCTGAATGGTATGTTCCCACATATTAAATTAATATTAAACATATTTAAATTACTTATAATCATTGCATTTTAGGCTCTCAACAAATAAACAAAATAAAGTTTATCTTCCAGAAGAGCCATTTCCTCATGCTTTTCTTGTTAAAAATGCTAGACTGAAACATTTTACATCTACATATGCTGAAGGTTTTAGTTCTGATTACAGACAACCTTGTGTTGTCTTTTGTGGTCATCCTAGTCTTAGATTTGGTGATGCAGTTCATTTTGTTCAATTGTGGGGCAATAACCCACAACATACTATAATTTTTACAGGTATTTATTATTATGTATATGTTACATGTATTAAAATATTTAAAATATTTGATTATGATTTCAGAACCAGATTTTCCATATTTGGATGCATTAGCTCCATTTCAGCCGTTAGCTATGAAAGCAGTACATTGTCCGATTGACACATCTCTTAATTTTACTCAGGCTAATAAATTAATTAGAGATTTAAAACCTGAACACTTAGTAATACCGGAATGTTACACGCAACCACCGATGACTGCGCCGCATAGAACAGATCTCGTTATAGAACCTGTAGGAGTAAGTGTAATGATGTTAACGTCTGCAAGCAAAATACTTTAATGTAACGTTATTAGCATATTAATAATTAATTGTTCTTCCAACGTTTTTGCAATTTTAGGAAAAACCTTTAATCACTTTTAAACGAGGTGAAGTCATAAAGCTACCTCTAAAAAGGAAGAAAGGACGAGTATTTATTGAACCTGAATTAGCTGGAAATATAATTCCAAATGAAATTCGGCCTGGCTTGAGTCTTGCTTCTGTTACTGGTGAATTAGAAGTTAAGGATAATGTATATACTATAAAGGTATGTATTATATACATATACACATTTTGTAGAATGTACTTGATTCATTGACAGTGTTATGTTCAGAATATTGAAGACAGACCTAGCGGAAAACGTAAAGTATCTTCTGGTTCCCCTGCACCAATTAAGGAAGAAGTTCTTAAAGAAAGGAAACATGAATATGGTAATTTAGATCCACAAGAATTGCTTCAAAAACTTAGTCAAGAAGGAATTCAAGGAGCCAAGCTGCAACATAGTCCAACATCTACCAGTATTCACTTGGTAAGAAAGATATTTGTTAAGTAATTGTTTTTCATAAAAAATCGACCCTCTTTAAATATAATTATTTACATTTTTAGCAAGATGAAGATACTTTAATTCAAATAGGGGACAATTCGACACATATTTTTTGTAATGGTGATCAAAAAATTAGAAGACAATTGAGGACTATCATAATGCAGTGCCTTAAAAGGTTTTAAGTTAAAAAACAAATAATACTGAATTATAACATTTTTTTATATAATGACAATTTCAATTGTAATTTATTTTTTTATACGATTGGAGTTTTTTTTTAATTAATACCAAAAGAAGTTATGATGTTAAGTACTTTCAAATAAATGTAAGTAACATTTACATTAGTATTACCTGTAACTACGTACACGCTCACATACATTAAACTGTACATAATATCTACAAATATACTTGTGTACGTGGCAGTATTACATGACCCATTTTATTCATTACATTTTTGTATGCAATAGCATATATAAATAAATTTTTAAGAATCATGTACAAATTAAAAACTGGAAGTAACATATCAATGTATAATACATAACTTAGTTATATGCGAGATTCTCAATAAATTACATATGGCATAATCTGTTTATGGTTTCATATTATATATGACTAACTAATAGTAATACTACTTAAACAATATTAGTTATTTACTAAACTAAACAACAAAGTATCGTATAAATCAAGATTACAATAGTTTGTTTTACAAAATCTGTTAAATACAAGAGAATAATACAAAAAGCAAGTGTATATAGTGTACACTACATGTTAATAGCGTATAAGTTAATAGTCATCAAAGTAATGACTATTATAGATTTAGAGGTAATAAAGAGTATATTTAAGTTCTTTGCTCTAAAAATATAATCACTAAAATGACTGCATCATAATTTTTTGCTGCATTCTGAATAATATAAATTCGGATATAAACACAAACAGAAATTCAATATATGTTCAGAAAGAAAAGCACATTATTTTTTACTAATTACCGAAATAAAATGTATCACAATTTCAGACAAAGAAACATCGTTTCCATTTATATTTTATATATTATGTAATGTGTTTTATTATTCATGTGCTCAACTAATCGATTTTGATTTAATATTCATATGATAAGCACCTGATTATTTATATTCAGAGTGCAGCATGTATGAACTTAGTTAACAGTAACCACACTGAGCGCTAAACCGGCGCAAAATGATGCAAGGAAGAATTGCAACTCCGTAGTTTTGAATGACTTTTCACCAGTTATAGAATGGTACCAACGTCGTGTACGAGATTCGCCATTTTTCAATAACTGTTCAGCTTTATCCAGTTTCTTATCGACGTACCTCTCGACCTGAAACAACATCGTTAATCGTTAATGAAATCGATTCTTTAAGATATACTTATAAATATTATAAAGTGTATGTAAAAATAAAATAAGAATAAATTTTATAAATTATATTTATTGCAAGATATAACTAACTGTTTACAGTATTTCTATTATTTTGTGCTATTATTTTCCTGTTACATATAATGATACACAAATGTACATACATACCTTGAGCAATTAAAAACTAAAATAAACATGAATGGTTACTAGACACAAAAACTTTTCATTGCATGTGCATATTCCTTAGAAGCATTAGATTTTAATCATATACACATAAAATACAGTACCATAAACATTTGTACCACATAAGTCTATAAACTTATATATTCGAAAATTAAGAAAAAACCTTTACTTAATAATTAAATAGTTTGACTAATTTAAGTTACGAAATTCGTTTAATTCCTAAGTATCAATGAAAGTGAAAATGCTATTTAATACATAGTGCTAATATAAAAAAGGAAATATTATCTATTTGAGTGTATGAATTTAAATATTTTTTTATTCACGATGCTAAGCCAATAATGAAACCACCAACGAAACTTGTTGCCACAAACGAATTGTTTCTACACCATGTTCCTACCTGTGAACAACATAGGGAATATACTTGTATGTATTAATAAACTAACATTAAAGATGTTAAAAATATGAAGAATACAATATCAATATCTTGCCTTATCTAGAAGCTTTGGTCCTTCTCCAGTGACTTTTTCTTCTACTTTGTCTGTAATTTTTTCAGCTTTCTTTTGTATTTTATCCCAATTGATTTTTATATAGCCTTGATGCGCCGCAATTTGTAACATTATAATTCCTCCACCAACTGCAACAGCAGCTATTTTTCCAACTTTCATTGTCACAAAACCAGTAAGCCTATAAGAAATTAGATCAACATTTTTTTATTGAACTATGACCAAATGTTTATAAATATCAAAAATTATTTAGAAAAAATTAGATTTTTGTTTATCCTTTATATAAACATATAATGCTAACCATCCTGATGTTGTTCCAATAATAATTTGTTTGGTAGCAGATTTCTTGCTTACATCTCCTAAAATCTTATCAATTAGACCTTTTGCTTCCTTAGAAAGATCTACACCACTTTCTTCTCTGTTTGCATCATTTTTACTTTTCTTTGTCACTGGAAGACTCATTTTAATACTGTAACAGTGTATCAATTATACTCTTTTATTATAAAATAATAGTTCTGAATTTACAGACAAAATGCAATTTCATGATTCATCTATAATGATTCTTTAAATTTTTAATTCTTAATGTTGTTAACAATGTACAAGTATAAATACTACTATCACGTCTCTAAATAATAGCATCACTAAGTCATTCTTTGGTTATTCGTCAGAACAAAAATATATCGATGATTACATTGCCAAGAATTTGTAATAATGACTGCTATACGGAAAGAAATCATTTTTGTTTTTTTAATGAACTGTTATGTAATTTAAAACATGTACATGCCGCCGAATAACGATACAAATTTTGAAATACAATGAAAAACAAAAACAATCTACCGTTTAAACAATTTTGTTCCTTTTGACTTAAAGGTGTTCTTGTGCAGTTTAGGCATGATATAAGTAGTTTAAGGTGTGTCCTTAAATATAATGATATCTCATTGTAGTTAGTATTTCACGTACAAAGCTCACCTAATTGTTTAGTCACAATAATGTTTAATAAAATTTGCGCATAAACCGATCTGTCAGATCGAAATCTCCGGTATATCTCAAGATCACTTTCAATGTGCACTGTGCAGACGTGACAGTAACTGACTGACTGATGTACCATCAGAATTGATGATTCTTTTTTATGTGCAAAATACGAAATATAAAAATGTAAGTACAATTAAATTAAATAAATTTGAAGTCTTCAAATTTTTTAATTTTTACTGTTTTAAATTTCCAACTTTACGATTTCTTAAATCTCCAAAAGCCCACATTTCTAAACTTTGAAACATTTGTTAAATGTCTGAATTCTCAGATTTTTAAAGAGCTTTACATTTCCAAATTTATAATTTTCGAATTTGTACATTTAAATTGAAATGGAAATGAAAACCTCGAAATGGATTAAAATTAAATAAAGAATTTAATTTTTCGCGCCATTCTAAGACGTGAGGAGGAACGATATTCTTTAACAACGCCATTATATGTCGACGTGAACCATCGTAATGGTCTTCCGTCGCGTGATTCGCCATCCTGGTTTAACCTGATTGCCGCTTCGAAAAACTAATTGTCCCGATGAGGTGACGAGGTGTCGAGAGTGTAAATTTTAAAAACTCTCAGAATTTCATGCAAAGCGGCCTGTTCTACGTGTAAATATGTGTCGTTCCTGTTTTTAATGAGTATATTTACCGAGTGTGAAAATGGCCCAGGAGACTGACGATATCAACCTGACTCCTCAAGAATTACAGATATTATCCGAATTAGACAGGTAATTTTCAACCAAATCAAGTCTGCAACAATAAACCTCGTGTCTGTTTCTTAATTCTTCGTATGCCAACTGTATTTTGCGCGTGTACTTTTCAAAATATAACCTAAAAGGTTGTTTGACAGAATAGGCGCGTAATTTGATCGGTTCATTTGGACGTACGTACTAATGTACAATTTACTGATATCTGTGTTAGACGTTCGAATGTATCATTTTTAATATAATAAGTAATAATATGAGACTGTTTATTAATATGAAGAATATAGGAATATACACATTTATAATGATACAAATTATATTATTTATATTTTTATGTGACATATATTGTTATAAACTTTAATTGATCAATGCGTTATTTTGAATATATTTGCAGTCGGCAGTTTGGATTTTTAAAATTAAATTCACCAGAGCAATCAAAAAAGAAAGCTTTAGTCGTACGTGCAATCAAATACCTAGAAAGGATGTTAGTTCAAGCTCAGGCTGAGAAACAACGTAGAAAAGCAGATAGTACAAAAATAAATCCGGATGAATTAAAAGATGATGAGGAAGACAAGGGGATCAGTATTGATCCTAAAACATATTGCAAACTGGGACACTTTCATTTACTCTTGGAGGATTATAGCAAAGGTAATTAATTATTTGTACTATTTTGTTGTCAGCTGATATTCATATTTTAATATATATTTTCATTCTGTTTGTGCCTTGACAGCTATGTCAGCGTATCAAAAATTTTATTCATTAAAAGGAGATTACTGGAAAGATGCTTCATTTTTATATGGACAGGGGCTTGTCTATTACCACTTCAATGCTTTTCAGTGGTAAGTTACATTTTACAATTGTTTATGCATGTGGTTTTCTTTAAAACTGTTTTCACATTTCCATATATAAAATAGTGTAGTATTAAGTTGTACATACCAGACATGTTTACGACAAGCAAGTAATTATTTAATTAATATCTTATTTCCCCTATTCTTGTATTACAATTGCTTCATTAATCAATTGTAATTGAATGACTAAGGAATTTACATATTAGTTCAGTTACAATTTAAAATACAAAAGAAAGATTTTAGACTGTTCATTGAGCTTATAATTTGCATAAGGAAAACAAAACAGTGTGCATAAAAATGTGTGCAGGAAAATATTGTTGTTCACCTTGAAAAGGGGACGTCGACCCCTTAGAAGATGTACACATAGGGTTCATCGTTCTCGTCTTGTCCTTTTTATTTTTATAATTTCGCGCGCATTTCTGTTGGTAAAGTAATTTCGTCCCTGTACGTCGATAAAATAGATCACTGAACAATCCTGGCAAGGTAGAATTTGGACAAGCCGATAGATCCCAATTTCTAAGAGTTACCAAACGAATTCTCGGTTCGAAAATAAATTTTGACAACAGATGTCCTGAATTTTCCTCTGATAGAGTAACGTGAAGTGCCTACGTGCCAAACTGTTGCAGAGTTATGGCGTCTAGGAAAGTGGGCGGGGGAGAAGTAGGATACGTATGTATTCTATTCCAGCAACTAAAATAATAATTTAGATTTCTTATATTTTGTACACGTCACTGCAGAGATTATTTATTTATTAATAATTTATTTACATTTTTAGAATTAAACTTTTTATGAAAGTTTGATAGAAAAATAGAAATATATATTTTACATACTCAATAAATTAATTCCTGGTCGTTTAATTCTTATCGAATTACTATTAAAATTGATATTGTTGATAAAATTATTTGAAAAACAAGATAAAAACATTGTTCATGTTTAATATAGATTTAGTAACTGTCGATTACAGCATACTGCGATCGATTTAATATAGCTGCTCAGGAAACGTAGTTTAACCTTAATCAACATCAATTATTTCGAGTACAGATATGCTCGAATTTCATTACGTACGATCGAATGCGAGTGTAACATGACGTTTAAGCATTTGCAAATTCAGAAATCGAATTGTTCTCATTAATTCCTCGTGAGGTGCTTCAAAATAACTGAGAAGATCATATCGCTGTCAAATACCAGTTTAATAAGGTTATGTTCGTCATTCTCGATTAATGTACGTGTCAGTGACCGGGTCAACAGTTAGATTGTCATATTCTAATAATATCTTTATGCTATCAGATGAGATGTGTTTGAATTAATGTATTCTTATGATATATTCAATTGTTTAATTCGTTCAATTATTACATGGCATTAAAAATATTGTTCCCGTCGTTGTAATTCAACTGTATATGAATACGTAACAGTATTGTTGCTGTTGACTTGACATTTCCTGTCAGGCAATCGGCTTTATAGACGGTTAGGAGTGAGAATATCGATTTCCTGTTCAACCCTCCTTAACTCAGATGGGTGTAAGATTCCCGTGGAACCAAGCTTATACAGGACTTCCTTTCTCTCTTTTAGCATTCCACTTTATTATGATTCCACATAATCGTTATCAATTTCTGTGATTGACAGCTTTCCGCGTCCTTCAGTCGATAATTAATCGATCGATAGTAACATTTTAATTCTCGAACAGCGAGCAGTAATTTAACCCGTTGAACCTTTGTTCCACGATTCTTTCTGTTTTCTACGCATTGCAAATATAACATGTAACGCAATAAGAAATATGACAAGTGAAGAAAGATTTAATATCGAGTTTGGTTTTAGTCCCTCAAAGCGACAGAAGTAAAACTTGTTGGACATTTCTTTTATATCGTCATTTCAGAAAAAACAATTGTGCGGTGATGACATAGTGCAACATAGAGCGTCTTTCGTCTTTGTCTTATTCGATAAACCGCAGACTTATTCACCGAGTGAAATTGAATGGAAAATCCTCTCTTTGTGGATTCACGAGGCGGTTTCCTAGGATATATTGGGTTTCAAAGCGTCCGTTCAGGTGTGCACAGTAGGAAATGCATAGGCAACAATTATTTGTAGGCCACCTGAATGGGGAGACTAGATTACATGTTCGTACATTTTACTTCGCTATTACCGATGAGTTTGTACTGGAAGAAAGTTTTCCGAAAATGAATTCATTCAAATTACATTACTTGTTCGTTCGGTTATATCATTATTTGAAGTTCGAGTTTATCCTGCGCGTCGACGATGCGCAGAACTTAATCACATTAATAGGTGTGCTTCACACTTTTAATCGCATTAAAAAGAAAATCTTACAGCATTGTTTTAAGCATAACTCGATATTGTTTTGGGAAGTAATATTGTATAAATATATATTGCTTAAGTACTCTATCGTCCTTCAGCACGAAGGGAAGCTGCAACCCCTTTCTCTGATCAACGAATCTTTTTTCACTATTTCACCCCTGGTATTGAATGGAGCCGAATCTCCCTAAGGGTGATTCACACGACGCGTGACTCGCCAGTTTTCTAATCACTCGTACGTGTATGACTCTCGTGTATTGTGCATTGTGACTGTATATTTATAGCAATCGTTGTATTATGCAGTCGTCGCACTTTATGCACGTTTCTGTTTTACGATATCGATTTGCTAGCGTTACACGTGTCCCTGCTTTAACAATCATGAAGAAATATAACTGGTTCCTTTTATGGTTTAATGTGCTATTTTAGATTTATTTGTCTAACTTTAAACCATTGCGTAAAGCATCTAAGTTGTGTTGCAAGTGCATACGTATTCAAGTGTAATATTGCGTATGAGGGAAAAATGGTGATACGAGTATTTATAATTTTACAAATTTCTAATTTTGTGAATTTGCAAATTGGGAAAGTTGTAAATTCTGAAATTTACAAGTTGAAAAATTGCGAAATTGGAAAATTTGAAAATCCCGAAATTTCCGAATTTAAATTGACCGAATATTGAGAAAAGGAGGTGGCAGCGTCGCGCTCGTTTTCGGGCAGCCGCGTCGGTTGGAGCAAGGTTCGTCGGAACGGCACGGCACGGCAGTTGGGACATTTTGTCCGCCATGGGAGAGTGGAGTTGAGTCACGTGCAACGCATAGAGATGCGTTGCAGACGATCGATTTTACAGCCTCTCCTTCTACGCACGTGTTCGGCCATGTATAGTCGCATCGAACCATTGGGTTGTTACATATCAGATGATTAATTGGGAAATAGGAAGTCTGCTATAATTCGGTGATACGAAAGTATCAAGAAAGAGCGTATTACAGTGTATAAGTTTGAAATGAATGTTCGAGAAAAATAGCTGGGTAAAGTTTCGATTAATATACTTAATATAAAATGACTGCCTATCGGTTACGGCAAAGAACCGTTTTCTTCGTTTCTAAGAAATCATACATGTAAGACTATGTTCTCCGAGTATCAGTCTACTTACAAATGATGCACAGCTCGTCTGTGCTCGTTTTTACTCCAGCTGTTTCTGAAAGAATGCTCGTCGTACGTGTATAACCGCACGTCC